ACATCTACTTTACCGCTTTTTGTTTTTGTAATTGTCGATTCTACTTCTTCCGGAAGGACTTCTGGTACATTTTCTTGGTTACTAATTGCTTCTTTGAGTGAATCAGGGGCTTTGTAATAGTTCGCTGTAGAATTTAGTTACGAGTTGTATTATTCGATTTCTGTCTATCATCCTGGTCTTTTCGTTTGTTAGAGAAACGATGTAATGCGTTCCAATGATTATTACTTTTCTTTTTTTCTAATAGTTTTTCTGTTTTTGATTGCAATATTTTCTTATGCCTTCCTTAATACTTTTCCTCATTGTCTTACACAGTTCTGTGTATTGTATTGTCTGTATGTTGCTACTTACTTCCCTTGTTCTTCTTTAATTTAGCATTATGTTGGTTTTATTAGACAGTTTTCAATGTTTATTTTGTTTTTGTGGCCCTCCAATGTCTTTTGTACTTCTCCTAAATGTGCCTATCTTCTAGAGAGATTGGCGACCACATTGACCCATCTTATTCTATTTACACCAGCTCGAAATAGACCAGTTGACGTTAGACCAATCCACTTCCTGATATTGGCCAGCCAGGATATATGTGTATGTCCAGAACCTCTCTTACCCTCAATCTTACCTTGTAGAATCAACTGTAGAAGTCGGTATTTATCATTACGCATGATGTGGCAGAAGTAAGCCAATTTTCTGTTTTTTATGGTGTTAATAATTTTTTTGTCTTTTCTTAGCCTCTGGAGACTAGTTGTTACTTGTATGGCGTATATATTGAGACCCTCAACATACGTCGGTGGCACCACATTTCAAATGCCTCTTTCAAATTTGGTTTCAGGCCGTATTTGTTACATGCCTTAAAAAGGTTATCCACCATCCTTTGGAGCCTCTGCGTACTATCTGCCAGCAACATTGTATCGTTTGCATATTTAATATTGTTTATAAGTTGAGCCATTTACAGCAATCCCATCTTCTGATTCGTCAAGGCCTCTCTAAAGATGTTTTCAGAGTTTCATATTGTTTATGTTATATAATGCCGGTGATAATATGTAATCCTGTCTAACTTCTTTTTCGACTGTGAAGATCTCGGACAGTTTATTTTCTAATCGCACTGTTGCTTTTTGTTGGAGATATAAGTTTGAGATCAGTCTTATATCCTTACCATCGAGTCCTGATGTTTTTAGGATATTGATCAGTTGCCCATGTGGGACTTAATCAAAATAAAAATGCCTTTTCTAAATAAATGAATCATGCATACACATCGCAGTTGACATCCCTGGCTCTCTGTATTAGATCTTGCAAACTAAAAAATGCTTCTGTCGTTCCGAGTCCTGCTCTGAATCCAAATTGAACTTCACTCAAGTGTTTTTCTAATTTGGTGTATAGGCGTAAGTAAATGATAGTAAGGAGTACTTTAAATACATGGCTTATGAGACTAATTAATTTATGTTCTTCACATTTTCTAGCGTCGGCACTATCATAGCTAGATCATCAGTGACATTACAGCTCTTTATGAGCCAAAGCCTTCTTCAGAACAATCCTCAATTTGTCCCTGTCTCTGGCAACTCTTCTCTATGCTCTAATTCCGATAGACTTTAAATCATTTTCTAGGTTGTCTTGGTACCTAAGTCTCGGTCTTCCTCTTCTTCGTTGTCCGATCGGCCCTCTTCGGTCAAAAACTTTTCTGACTATGTCATCTTTCTCTCGTCTGATTACATGACCTATCCATCTGAGGCGTGCTACCTTAATGAATTTTACAACGTCAGGTTCTCCAAATCTTCTATACAACTCAAAATTGTAACACCTGCGCCACAAACCTTGTTCTTTTATGCCTCCATATATTCGTCTTAGTATTTTTCGCTCAAAACGTGTTAGTGTCCAAGTTTCTGAACCATATGTTAGCACTGGTCTTATTAGTGTTTTGTATACAGTCAGTTTAATTTTTCTAGGCATTTTGAGGCCATCTGTATTCTTAAGCCATAGTAACACTTATTGGCGAGCACTATTCTTCTTTTGATTTCTTCACTGACGTTGTTATCTTTGGTTAGCAGCGACCCTAAGTATATGAAGGTATCAACACCTTCCAGTTCTAGGTCATCAATTATTATTCGTGTAGGTGTCGGGTTGCTTGACTTAGTGCAACACATATATTTGGTCTTTTGAACATTTATATTTAGTCCCATTCTGTGTACAGATGCTCTTAACGACCGAAATGCTTCAGTCAGAGATTCTGTGGACCTACCTATGATGTCTATGTCATCTGCGTATCCGACAATTTGTACTGATTTGTTAAAGATAGTACCATTCGTAGTAATCTGCGACTCTCGAATTATTTTTTCTAATGCCAGGTTAAATAAGAGACACGATAGTCCATCACCCTGTCTTAGTCCATTTTTGCAGTGGAAGGGTCTTGAGAGATCGTTTTGGATTTTTACCATGCTCTCTGCACCTGTGAGTGTAAGTTCAGTTAACCGGACAAGATCAAACGGAATGCGAAATTCTACCATAGCAAGTAGAAGTTTATTTCTATTAACGGAGTCGTATGCGGCTTTGAAGTCAACAAATATGTGGTGGGTGTCGACGCCGAACTCTAGGGTTTTTTCAAGGATCTGCCTCACTGTAAATATCTGGTCCGTTGTTGATTTATTAGGACGGAAACCGCACTGATATCCTCTCCACTATTTGTTCGGCGTAGGGGAGGAGTCTTTTGTACAATACGTTGGACAACACTTTATATGCCATATTGAGTAGAGTGATGCCTCTATAATTATCACACACCATCATGTCTCCCTTTTTGTGTATAGGACACAGTACACCTAACTTCCAGTCTGTGGGTGTTTCTTTCTGTTGCCAAATTGCAGTTATCAGTTTATGCATGTGTTTCATGAGGGGGTCGCCGCCATTTTTGAAAAGTTCGGCAGGGAGATTATCCGAACCGGGAGCTTTATTATTTTTCAGTGTTGCGGTGACTTCTCTAATTTCTTCTTCGGTGGGGGGTGGTTGCCGGTCATCTTCATTCATTTGAAACATGAGATCCTCAATCTCGTCATCTTCGTGATTGCCGCTAAGCAGTTCTTCAAAATGGTCCGCCCATCTGTTTAGTAATTGTTCTTTGTTACTAATTATGGAACCGTCCCTATCTTTACATGCTATTATTCTGGGTTTGAATTCTTTTCTGCAGCTCTTTATCTGTTGGTAGAATTTTCGTGAGTCTTTTCCATTGTGGTGGTTAACAACTTCGTTTAGAGTGTGTTCGTATTGTTCTTTCTTTTTTCTTCTAAACATACTCTTTTCTTCTCTTCTAAGATTTTCATAATCTTCCAGAGTTAATCTCGTTATGCGCTGCTGGAGTCTCTTATATGCTTCGTTTTTTTGTTGGTTGATATGTCTGCACTCTTCATCGAACCAATATTCGTTTTTTTTGGTCTTGATAGGTTTTAATACAGTTTCAGCCGCTGTGTGCATAGCTTCTTTACATTTAGTCCAATGTTCTTCTATACTTAGATTTTCTTCGATTGTTGGTAACGCTTCGTTTAATATTGTCATGTAATTACCTCTAGCAGTTTCAGATTTTAGCACCTCAATATATATTTTGGATTTTGTGCTGTGACCATTTTTTGCGTTTAGATATCCGTGCTCTAAGTTTTGCTTTTATAAGGTAGTGGTCGGAGTCTATATTAGCACCTCTACATGCTCTTACGTCCAGTATATCGGAGAAATGTCGACTATCTATAAGTACGTGGTCGATTTGATTTTTGGTCTGCCGTCTGGTGACTGCCATGTAGCTTTATGGATGTTTTTGTGGGGAAAACACGTACTTACTACCACCATTCCTAACGATGCCGCGAGTTCAACCAGCCGTAAACCATTTTGGTTACTAACTGTATAGAGGCTATGTTCACCAATAGTGGGTCTGTAGGTTGTCTCTTGCCCAACTTTAGCATTGAGACTATCAAGCATGATTTTCATTAATTGAGAGATTTCGATTTGGTCATGCAATCTTTCATCAATTGTCCTTTGGTAAAGATTTTTGTTTTCTTTTAGATTGTTAATATTTATACCGGATACTTTTAGTTTTGTGATTAATTCTATTCTTTCTAGTTTTAGATCTAGAACAATTTATGCTCTGATTTGTACTCTGATTAGTCAATCTTGTTGGTTAGAATGAAGTCAATTTCGTTCTTAGTGATTTCATTTGGTGCTATTCTAAGTCTGTTTTATGCTTGATTTTTTCTTAAATATTGTATTTTTGCAATACACATGTTTTGGTAGTGTGCAAACTGTATCAGTCTTTCTCCCTTTTCATTTTTCTAATCGATTCCATACTTTCCCATAACTTGTTGATTGTCATTTCTCTTTCCCACCTTGGCATTAAAGTAACCAATTAATTACTTGAATACCACTTATCGTTATGTAATGCTTTAATTATGTTACTGTAGAGTTCCTCTATTTCTTCGTGAATGTAAGCCATGAGGTATAATTTGTATACGGTATCTCTTTGATAATTTAGGGGTTAAGCTAGCTACTTTATCTGAAATACTAGTTATTTCCACTGCTTTTCGTTTCTATTTCTTGTTGATTAGGAATCTATAGGAATCCCATTGATGTTTATCGGTAATACAATATATTCGCTCATGCTAATTCTGATAGCTCTTTATCTTTCCGTCTATTCATCTTTTCGCTGATTCCTATTATGACGGATTTTATATTTTCAGTTTCTTTTTCCAGTTTTACTGGAGATTTGAAGTCTGGATTTATTTGATAGCGAGCGGCAGTCATATGTCGCTATATAAAACCTTGTTGTTTTATTTGGGTAGCGGTTTAAACTTCGCAGATTCTTAGTATACTCTGCCTTCCTGGCTTGATCCCGAAAGTCAACTACCAACCAAGTAGAGCAGCTTATCTCAAATACAGTGAAGGCAGATTTAGTATCAATAAAATATGCAAATTCGCTGAATGTGGAAAATCATAAAATTCTAGTAATTTGCTTGTTTATTTATAAACCGAGTTTCGCGGAATTGACTGTTTTAAGAACTGTATAAACTGCTACACAATTTCCATATTATTCTCGAGTCTTAGTACTTAATTCATTAAAATTCATTTAATCTTTTTTACTTGTAGATTTTAATGTTCAGTTTTTTTTTCAGAAAAACCTGATGCCACAACTTTCGAAGATGCCATCGCTGCTACAAAATTTGGAAAATATAATATAATGTTAATTGTCGTCATAGCTCTTCCCTGTGTGACACAATTACTAAACACGGTCGAACTTTCTTATATAATACCTGTCGCGCAATGTGATTTGGGACTTACTTTAGAGGATAAAGGTCTTATAAATGCTATTATTTTTGCAGGTAAAAAGCATATATCTAGTTATGTATCCTTTAAAACTTATTTTAAGACATGGTCTCTCCATTATTTTTACAATGATGTTCCTCTTGAGGCAAGGTAAAATCATTCTTACATATTTCGGAGATTACCCAGACGTCATATCCGATGCCTTTCTGGACCGTACAACTTACCCTCCAGAATGTTTGGAACAGGCTGTACCGATGTTCGTTATGCATTACATGGGCAATATATTCCAGTTGCATCATTTCATAATTATGGTTATTTAGCGATCCTTTCTTATACTTAGTAAGACCTCAGTATGTATATGTAGCAACACATTAAAAATACGCTAAGAAACTTTATGGATACCTCGGATACAGCTCCACGATTCCACCCTGTTTAAAAGAACTAATATAATATAACATCTGTCAGTGGATCTAAAGAAAGAGTTCTTGTTCATTTTGATGAATACTGATCTTGCCTTCTTAATCGTTGCTTTTATATCCATCGAGTGTAGTCACCGATCATTCAAATTTTATAAATATCTTCTATCGAAGGTTAGAAATCATCATGGCTAAGCGCACCCTGTTGACTGCCACTCTAAATAGTTCTGCACTTCTGCATTCAAACTATCCCCTTAAGTGCTTACATCGCCCTCTCATAACATGGCCTAAGTACTCAAGTTTTCTACTTTTGATAGTCAGCTTCATTTCACATTCTTCTAGCAACTTCTGCGTTTGATATTCTTTGAGTCTAATTTCTTTGGTTTGGTCTACATTTGATGTTATCTACATTCCTAAGAGTTTGTAGGTTATTAGTCCATTTAGTTTTTTTTTCAAATTTATCCTTAGTCCGTATTCATCACAGCATTCATTAAGTCGTTGCATTGCGTTCTATAAATCATTGTTGTTATTATTGCTGCAACGTCTGCAAAATACAAGTCAATCAAAACTTCTCCATTGATAGATATACCTTCTATTAAATCTGAGAGCTCTTCTTTAAATAACGCTGGAAGACTCCTCTTGTATTTTGATATCTCGGGTGTTCTGGTTGTCAACTTTTACCTTAGCATTCCATAGTTTCATTCCAATATATAGACTAGATATAATATTTATATCACTACTGTCATTATTTTTGGTTTTTAATATTTATAAAATCTTTTAATGTTTAACCTTATCAAATGCCTTTTCAAAATCTAAAAAACGTAAGTACATGTTCTGATTCATATCCATGCCTCTTTGGGCTAGCACGTTCAAGCCGAACAAAGCATCTCTTGTGCCTATACAATTTATAAAGCCATATTGTGTGTCACTAATTTCATATTCAAGAGTTTTAACAATTCTGCTGTGTATTATTTTTAAAAATGTTTTAAGTGTGTGACTCATTAAAGATATTGTTCTGTGATCTGAGCAGGATATTGCACTTGACTTTTGGGTATTGTCACAAAGGTCGATTGCAGCCATTGTCTGGGGATTGTGAATAATCATATACTTAATCTTTTTAATATTAAAATCTAAACCAAATTTTCCATTTTTGTCTACTATTCTTGCAATAGTCTGTAGTCTTTCTAGACTATCTGCGAAGACCATGGGTATTGTCTATATAACGTATGTTGTTCAGTCGTTCGCTGTGTATTATTTTCAAGTTACCAGCAAGAGAAAAATCACGTGAATTTCAGTATTCTTAAAATATTGCCATGTTTAATATTAGTTCATATTCACATTAAAATAAAAAAAAATACATTTGATTTAAAAATACACGCTAACCTTTTTGATTTTAGGAATGATATCCACCGGTGTATATTGGGGCTACTTATGTGACGCACTAGGTAGAAAGAGGATTATTGTATATGGCTTCCTGCTGTCTGGATTTTTTGCTACAGTTGCAGCTTTATGTACCAACAAATTTGTACTTTTAGCAGCTAAATTTATGTCTGGAGCAATGTAAGTAAGTTTTTACCAAGTATTATGAAAATATTTGGATCTGGATATAAAAAAAATATATTGTAAATATGTGTTTTTAGAATTAATGGTCCATTTTCCGCAACGACCAGTCACATCACCGAATTTCATTCGTCAGAATATAGAGGAAGAGTTAATATGGCACGAGGCATGTTTTTGAGTTTTGGTAGTTTGCTGTTACCGATTTTGTCGTGGGCCATATTACCAAGAAAATTGGATATATTTCTCTTTGGAATACTAGGTAAAAATTTTCAATACACAGCCTTATAATTATATAGACAGATAAATATTTGAAAATAAGGCTATTATCGAGCACAAGTTAATTAAATCTAGCCCAAGTACTTTCGCTTAAAATAGCATCTTCAGGGGCATTTCGTCAAAATGTGAACTATCCGGCAACCGTAGAATGTGGAAACATTAAAATAACGTAAAATTGTACAAAACACTACACTAAAACGAGGACAAACAGTTTAAAATTACTTAAAGATTCTACGCTACATTCTCTGTCAGTATCTGGAGGGATAATCTGTTTGTCCTCGTTGTAGTGTAGTGTTTTGTACAATTTTATGTTATTTTTAATGTTTCTTCATTCTACGCTTGCCGGATAGTTCACATTTTGACGAAATGCCCCTGAAGATGCTATTTTAAGCGAAAGTACTTGGGCTAGATTTAATTAACTTGTGCTCGATAATAGCCTTATTTTCAAAGTTCATTTAATCGAGCATTCAACCTCATTTCATTTAGATAAATATTAGTTGCTTTGAAACAAAATGTTTTAAACTATAGTAGTAATTATCTATAGGTACACGATATCAAGATCCAAAGTATGTCACGACTGGGCTAATATTATATATATATATATTATATATATATATATATATATATATATATATATATATTATAATGAAGTGTATGTATGAATTATTTATTTTGAATAGATAAAATTTTGCTATACACAGGGTCCCAGGTAAGCCAGGTAAGTGAACAGGAATTGTTGAATTATCTGGCCCAAAAAAGCTTTGATATTTACCAAGGAGTTTTTTCACATACGTATTTATACGGCTGTACAGGGTGTTGGAGAATATTTTGTAAATTGCGTTCAAAAGAGTTATACCCCTATAATTTTTACATTCCAACAAAACTCATGTTTTCTGACTGGACATATGATTCCAATACACCATTCTCCTGTATTTATTCTTCTTGTAAGACTTTGACTTTAATCAAAACAAAATCGTCTTCTTCTTCAAGTGCCATCTCCGCGGCGGAAGTCGGCAATCATCATAGCTATTCATACTTTTGAGAAGGCTGCTCTAAAAAGTTCATTTGATGTACATCCAGACCACCCTCTTTGGTTGCACAGCCGTTACATTCTAGCCTTCCTATGCTTCTCTTTCCTTGAATCTTTTCCTGCATAATCAGTTGGAGCAATGTGTATTTCTTTCTACGTGTAATATGTCCGAGATATTCCAATTATACTGTTTTAATTGTATTTAAAATTTCTATTTCTTAATTCATCCTTCTCAGAACCTTTTTGTTCGTCACGTGTTTTGTCCTCGATATTTTCAGAATTCTTCCATACACTCAGAGCTCGAATAATTCCAGTTTTTTCATTGATGTGGCATTTAAGTTCCAAGATTCCCTTCCATTAAACAAAGTTGATAAAAGATAGCACCTCGCCAACATAACTGTTAGTTCTAATTTTAAGTCCCTTGTACATAGCACTCTTATCATTGTGTTGAAATTTGCTACAGCCTTTTCTATTCTGATTTTGATTTCCTGAATGTAGTTATTTTTGGAGTTAATCATTGTTCCCATATATGCCATACTTGTCCACTTGTTCGACGTGGGTTCCGTTTATTAGAAGATTCTCGTTATTTCTTTGAGTTTTTGATATTCTCATAAATGTCTTCTTAATATTCATTTATTTGATACTCTTTGATTTTAAGACATTCATTTTACAGGTATCTTTGTAACAGTATATTAGTTGAAAAAGAGCTTTACGCGTTCCTAGGTCTTTGCGAAAACCAAATTGTGTATCTTTAACATCTATGTCCAGTTTGTAATATATTCGGTTATGGATGACTTTTAGTAGTAAATTTAGCACATGAGACCATCAAACTAATAGTGCGGTAAAAACAAAATACTGTTTTTTATACCCACAAAATCATTTACATGACATCGTCGATTGTTGTACTTGCTGTGCATCAGCTACTTCAGCGCTTCCTAACACCTCGCAGAGTTATCGCAGATGACTTTATCCAAAATCTGGACGTTCTAACACAAATCATGATATCATGAAGACAGCGCAATGGAAGAAAATATAGTTTGTCATGCTGTGCCAAAAGAAGAGCAACCGAACACAAGAATAATGTTTCGGTATCCAGGGAATGTAATAGTTCTCCTACAGTAAGACAGTACGGGCGCAAGGAAGTGAAGCGTCTGAGGAGTATTGCGGTAGGGAAAATTCGTCTCTGGCTACAAGCAGTACTAACCCTAATCGCAAATAATGAATGTCTGAATGTTTCTTTCTAACGTTCCGACTAACGTGCTTCCTTTATCTGATGTCACTGGTGCACAGTAGTGTTCCCCATAAGTTTATTATGTGGGTAGGAGAAATCTTGTTTAAGTGCATTCATGTTGACACGGTCTCTCGAGTGGATGTGAAAGCCAGTGAGTTCTTGGGTTCTACCGGCCTTTGAATCCCACCTGCCACTCAGGAGTATACTAACAATGCTTGAAACGTGGGGCTGCTGTCATCCCAGGCCAGAAGATCGCGTGAAATAAGATCCACACAGTAGCTTTTGAAAAACCACTCCAAAATTCTTGCCAATATCATGACTGATCATCGGTGTAATCAGTTGTGGGTGAAACTAGGAATTCTGATTAAAAGTGCTCGAGCAAACTATTACCTTCTCAAAAGCACTAACCGGGTTAACATTGTTAGGTGTTGGAATCCTCGAATTACCGAGATTAAAAATTCCCTCAAGTCTTAGCAATTTTAGGGGTGTCCAAAGGTACGGCCAACGGGTCGGTTGGTTATCATCTTTATTTTGATCCAGCTATTATCGAAGTTCAAAACGTCATTTTGGGATTCTGAACCACATTCTGAGGTTCTTTAACCAAGATGTTCTTCTTCTTCATGGACCTCGCTTTCCAAATATTTTTCCTTGCCGGTTGGCATAAAGGAGAGCATATCTGGATTCATTTCGCATAATATGTCCAAAGAATTGTAACTTTTGAGATTGAATTGTGGTCAGTACCTCTCGGTTCTTATTCGTCCTTCTGAAGACCTCCTTATTTGTGACTTGGTCAGTCTACGGAATCTTAAATATTCTCCGATATTGCCACATTTGGTATTATGCTTCCTTATAACCAACATTACTCGAAAAAATCAAAGCTCAGAAGCTTTTTTTAACTTCTTTTTTTTTTGGAGTATTTTAATAATACATACCTTCCATGTACTTCTTGGCACTTTTTTACCCTTAAGTGAAGTATTATCATTAAGCCTATGTTTAAGACTCTTGAAATCTACATGGAAAAAGTTCATTTTTTATAGTCGGCTTATATTAAAATGAATAGAAAATTGGTTGTATTCATCTTATCGTATCACCAATATACATAATAATGTATAAATCAATTAATGTTACTTTTCTATACAACTACATGTTAACTTGGAGAATATTAAATGTATTAAACTTGGGATGTATCGTATGTATTGATTACTATTTACACACAGATATCTTATAGATTACGTTACTTATTTAAATAATTAATTAATTGAGTGTTTACATCTTGAATTATAACTACCGATCATTATTGACTAACTGACTAAAAGACTAAACCTACGATGGGATGGACGACGAATTAGGCCAACAATGTTATTGTAAACTTGCTGAATCTTTACGGTTCAGCTTAAGGAGAAACAAAATTATTTTGAAAGTAGAAACGCATGTTAACTATACGTATGCCTTAGGTTTATTCATAGACATTGAGGGAGCGTTTGATAAAACCACATTCCCATACATGGATATTTAGTATGCTCTCTCATAGAGCAATAATCGTAAATGTAAAAGACGTTTCTGTTAGAGACATAGTTACGACGGGTGTCCATGGGAAAGGCTGCTATCATGACTCCTCTGGATAATAGTTCTGGACACCCTGGTTTACCAACTCAACAACAACGAGTTCTACACAATAGCTATGCAGACAATAGTGTTGTGTAAGTTTGAGAACACACTATGTGAGATATTACAAGTTGCTCTCTGACTAATAGAACTATGGTGTAAGAAACACTTCCTATCTATAAATCCTAAGATGACAGAGATGGTCCTCTTCACCAGAAAAAAAATTCACCGGTTTAATACTCCCAAGGATTCTAAACTACAGTCTAAACTTTTCTGACAAGGTGAAGTACCTTGGTATAACCCTTGATAGGAAGTTAACATGGAACTTACACTTAGATGATAGAGGTAAAACAGCATATATTAACTATGAGCAATGTCGACGAACAGTTAGGACACACTTGGGGCCTTTCACTCGGGGTAATCGTATGGGTCTACACTGCTGTCATTAGGCCAATGCTAACTTACGGGCTATTGCTTGGGTACCAAAAGTGCTACAGGCAACAGCGATTAACAAATTAACCATATTCGGCGGATGGCTTGCATAAATATAACAGGTGCCATGAAAACAACACCAACTGATGCAATGGAGTTGCTTATTGGCATCATACCTCTAGACATATATGTCCAAGAGGTAGCGCTGGTGACAACAATGCGACTGCGCTCAACGGGTGCAAACCTTGATGTAGGAATGGGACAATTAAAAACTCATTTTTGGCGGGGAAAACTGTTTGTCTTTGACAAACCCTACAAAATCGAAACAAGACAGCATAATGAGATAAACGTGGTAAATGCCTATTGCATATACACCGATGGCTCCAAAATGGAAGAAAGCTCTGGATTCAGAACATACTCCAGATCACTGGACCTAAAAATAAAATGGGGTATGGAAAAAATGTAGCGTAGTTCAGACAGAACTGGCTAGTATCTCCATAGCCGCAAAAGAGAAAACCCAAAAAGGTATAGGTGGAAACTATAATAATCACTTTTGGGCTAAATCACAGATTGTTTTCGGAATAAATATTCTATCTTCAGTGCTGCTACTAGGTATACATGTTTAGAGCCATCGAATATGGGTGAAAACCGTTTAAATGATATTTAATTAGTATTAGATTACACGGTTGCTGATAATTTTGTAAGAAGTTAAAATTTTAAGTAGATTGACTCCATTAGAACTTAAAATCCCTACTAGGGTAATTTGTTCAGAGACGTAGTCTCTAAAGAGATCTTAGATATCAACCTTACCAACCAACCAATATTTATTCCGAAAATGTTCTGTGATTCTTCTGGGTACTTTTTAATAAATATTGTAACCTCGGAAATCTTTTTTGGGTGGTGCTAGAAAGATAACCAATGGAGACACTGCACGACGGCAGCCAGATGGTTGGTGGAGAGCGAGTCGTGGGTTCGAAACTAGCTTTTGGAACCGGGAATGGATCCAACGGAAGAAATAGGTAAAGATAGGATAAGAGATATTAGAAAAGATACAGAAATAACCAAAAGATAGATGGGTAAAATTACCAAAGATAAGAGAAGATAGAAACAGGGCGCCACTCAATTTTTTGGGGTTAAGGAGAAAATTAAGAAAACTTAGAAAGAAGAGAGATAAGAAAAGATATTTAGGTTCAGAGATCAAACCCAAGGAAAGATACCAACAGTAAATTATCAAATAAATCTGGTCAACGCAATATATAAACAAATAATAATATATTAAGTATTACACTTACTTACCTACGAAACTTAATCAGCCTGATCTTTCTACAGTTCAAAAGCATAGTAATATTTAAAGATAGTAATTGTTCAGAGCTAATATTTTATCAGGGAACTTGTTAGGAGCCGACAAATAAATACATGCATAGAACAATAACAATATATTAAACACAAAATTATGATGTTGCTAACTGCAACACAAGTAATAAAAATACACAACTATGAAATGGTGTTATATATGTATAAAATTAAGCAATAATGTAATAAGAAAATACCTTTACCAAGATATATAAGGCAATCATATACAAATCTAGTTTGGCGTATCTCGAGATATCATAGGAAAGATAATGAACAAAAATTATAGGAAATACAAAAGATAGCAAAAATTACTTAACTCTAAATTTACAAAAAAATACAAAAGGTTACAGAATGAAAACATAAACCAAACCGCACTTGGTTAAGTCAATTAACTATCTCGCACTATTATTTAATAAAAAACTGAGACTTTTATGTTCATAGGTATTATTTATAGCAATTTCTTGAATGGTTCTTTAAATTACATTCAAAAATCGGAAATCTATAGGTGAAGATATAGATGATACGTCCAGATAATGGCAGGTGATATGGTGCCATACCATATTACTCGCCCAGATAATTGTAGATAAAATTACTTACAGTAGATCTTGACTAAGGCAGCTTAATTCACTGAATTTAATACTTTTCTGGTACTAAACACTGAATTTAATAACCATTAAAGGTAGTTTAGAACTATATATATAATTTAATATAGTCTAAGGAAAGAAAACTCAAATATAAGTGTATACACACTTAGAAAATAATTCACAAAGACGATACGATAAGAAATAAAGTGAGCAAAGCGTAACAAAGATATTGGCTCTAACTCAACTACGGCCCAACAACAAGTAACTTGGTTCCACTCAAAATTTCACCAACTGTCCCTGAAAAAGGAAGAAGAAAATATTCCCCCACTCAAGAATGATAGGACAGTTGTATGTGTTTCTCAGAAGGTAAGGCCTTAACGACTATTGGAAACTTTGAGGTAAAATAATCGGTATTAACAATTGGACATAAGAAACAGACAATACTTGGGATTAAGTTATTGTCAAAAGAAACGGGGCTTCGACGAAAATTACCAATTTATGAAAAGGAAACTGCATACCAAAAGGCATTATACTCGTTTCATAATGAATATTATGACGGAAGGATTAAAAACCATTCCTAATTAGGGAATTCCATTTTAGCTGGGTATCTACAATATTTTGCTATCGATACACGATCATAGGCGTATCGCATAGGGGTTAAAAGGAATTATAAATATTTAATATATTAATAATAAAAAAAATGTTACAATATACTTTTGATAAAGGACCCTCTAATAAAATTTTTATTAACCTTAAGTTCAGATTATTTATAAATTTGTCTTGTTAATCCTTAATTTCACAAATATATTCCATCCTGGGATGGCTTCGAGTGCTAGCATATAGCAGTTATGCTTTAAAAGCTTAAAAATACCATTTTTGCCTTTTTTTACAAAAACATATTTTTTATACAACGCTTGCAGAACTCCATTCATGGAACATATTTCTTCTGGTATGCGCCTTATCAACAATATTCTGTGGAGTTGTATATATCTTTATACCAGAAAGCCCTAAATACCTCATGTCCACCGGACGAAATGAACAAGCAATGAAGGTTTTGCAAAAAATATATTCGATTAATACAGGAAACGCAATGGAGGATTTTCCAGTAAGTTGTTTTTAATTATTTACAGATAGGCAGACGATAAAAACATGATTAACATTATAGTATGCGTGAAATTTAATGTATGAGACTAAGTTATTGTATTTAATAGCTTTTATGATAATAAAACAACGATTGTTGTTTATATTTTGTTATGAGTAATGAATTTGATATACGCTGCTTGACGAAAACCTTAATGTTTTAGTTCTTCTCGATTACCAGCACTTAATACGGTCGATGTTTGTAAAAAATAAAGAAAAAGTAAAAAAATAGAGAAATCGTAATCGATGTGCAAAAAGTGGTCAAGATTTTTATCGCGATATGAATAAGTTATTTCATCTTATTTATTTCTATAGTGTATTTTTATGTATGAGAGAGTAATAAAACAATAAATTATGTATGCAAATCCCTAAACTGTTGATACGGGTGACTTAATGAAAAACAGATATTTGTCAACAAGTTTACAGAAGTATATAGGAAAACAATTTTAAATTGAGTATGCCACCAGGTATAAAGGTTGGAGCAGAATAGAAATACAATAGTTGTGAGGATTACTAATCCCTAAATAAGGTTGCCAGTGTCGGAGTGATGGAGGTTAACAGGTACTAATGAATTTGCAAGAAATGTAAGATGTTTATTTTATTGGTTATATATAACCAATAAAAGTTTAATAAGTACCTACCTATTTGCAAAATAAAGTTTAATTCTTTAGATAAAATAAAACGTTTTATTTTATCTGAAATGAGTGCATTCCACGAAGTAAGGGTTTCAACAATCAAACATTTAATTCTTTAATTCCAGGAATCTACGACAGTAATTGACTAGATAATTACCTTCTAAACTTATTCCACAGAAAATGTGATAGTGGGTTTTCCATTTTGTAGGAAGGTCCAAGTGGCGTATTCAAAATTCTTAACAGTTTCACTAAAGTAGGTACTTCATTTGCAAGGTGCAGTTTATTGTGTATACTAGTGTTATGGAAAATTTGGAAGTGCCGTGTAAACGCCGAAAAATTGGTCCTTTAACAGTTAATGAAAAACATTAATATTTAATTGTTTTAAATCATTTACAGACAACGTTTATGTGAAAGTGTTGATGAGACCGTTGAGTTAGTTAGCAGTACATTGGTGTTGGGAAATCTACGATTTACAGTGTTATTAAAGAAGAGAAATGTGGTAGTTTTCAAATGCCACGTAATGCTCCAGGGAAACCAAAATTTCAAATAGAATATCATTTTGAAGAAGGACTTCGACGGAAAGTGCATGAATTCTTCTTTAGACAAGAATTTCCAACATTGGATAAAGTTCTTGTCTCAGTGTGAGATGATAAGGATTACTCAGAAATGAGTCGAAGTACGTTATGGAAACTTTTAAAAGAAATAGGCTTCCGCTGGAAAAAGAATCCCAGAAAGTCTATTTTATTAGAAAGAAGCGATATTGTCATATGGAGAAGACATTTTCTAAGAACCATAAAGGAAATGAGAAACCAAAAAAGAAAAATATTTTATCTTGATAAAACATGGATCAACGAGGGTCATACACCAAATAAATTTTGGCAGGATGAAACTGTTACAAGTCAAAGGCACGCTTTTGTAAATAACTTATCTATGGTTTAAACCCACCATCAGGAAAGGGACGCAGGCTGATAATAGTACACATTGGCAGTTCAGGACGGTTTTGTTGAAGGTGGTTTATTATCTTTTGAATCAACTCGTACCGGTGACTACCATGAAGACATGAACGCTGATGTCTTTCAAGAATGGTTCGAGCAAATGATAGATCTTCTTCCTAAGAACTGTGTAATAGTAATGGATAATGCAAGTTATCACTCCAGACTTATAGAAGGACTGCCCACAACCAAGTGGTTAAAAAAAGACTTGCAGAATTGGCTGAGTTCAAAAAATATTACGTACCATCCCGGATCTATAAGAAAGGAACTTTATTCGTTGTGTGCCCTTCATAAAGAAAAATTTAAAAAATACGAAATTGATGAAATTGCCAAAAATCGTGGAATGACAGTACTTAGATCTCCCACCATATCATTTTGAATTAAACCGATTGAACTGGTATGGGCACAGATAAAGAGTGAAGTTTCAAGAAAAAATACCACTTTTAAAATTCATGATGTTAAACAGTTGTTTTTGGAGGCCGTAAATAATGTAAAACCTGAAAACTGGGAAAAGGCAGTAAATCACACTATTAAAGAAGAGGAAAAAATGTGGAAGCTGGACAATATTACTGATAAAATGATCGAGCCAGTTATTATAAATCTTGGTTCTGAAAGTTCATCTTCTGAATCTGATTTGGATTTGTAACAAGTAGCTGTAAGTTTTATATTAATATTTTTATTCATATATTTAACATACCTTAGACGGTTTTAAAAACTCTTTTTCTCTTTTGTAATTTTTAAAAATTAAAAAAAATGTGAATTTTTTAAACCCTTTTTAATGTAGGCCAGTCAGTTCTAATATAGTGTGTGATAAAAGAGGTCACTTTTGTTTACATACACATAACACTTTATAACACTGAAATAATTCATTTATTTTTTACAATTATTCAAAGTAATTTTTCAATTAATCTTGAGCACGCCCATGGAGTGGTCGAAGGTACCAGTTAAAATTATGCTAATTACTCTCTCGTTCATAAAATAAAACTATAGTAATTATATTAAAATAATTTATATTTATATTTATTTTTATTTATTTATTTTTATTTTTTGTTTTTTGTTGTAGGTTAAAAAGTTAGTCGAAGAAGTGGAAAATAATGCCGAAAAAGTAAATGTTTTGGTCGCCTTAAAGAAATGTTTTAGGGAAATGAAATTTCTTTTACATAAACCTTACATAAACCATCTACTTTTGGCATGTTTTAATGTGTTTTCTCTATTGATAAGGTGAGTTATTCTTGTTAAATGTTTGCTAAGTTTTTGTTTTCTTGTTGCTTTTCTAAGCTTGGGTGGAATGAATTTGCTGCCCCAAGGAATCTAGTGATAGTAGATTATCATACACTACTAATTATCCGTTGAACATAGGAAAATATGTATCCAATTATCAAGTACTCAGACGGATCGCCAGCATCCAATATTAACATGCATACCATTGCATCCTAGACGAATCCTACGATATAATAAAGAACAGTACTTATCCTGTTATCAGCTACAGAGTGCAGTACGTGTTATTGATAACTTTCTGTAAGTTCGATTAGTTCTATTTCATTTTCGCAAGCGAATGAAAGTACCTACATCATGGACCCGTTACCAGTATCTGTCGTGAATTTCAAACAGGATATGTCTCTTAGTGTGCAAGTAAAACGTGTGGTCTTAAATGTAGTGAACTATCATCTGAACTTAAAAGGCGAACTGAAACCGGTATAAAAAAAGGAGAAAAACAGTTTCCAGTCCAATTTACGTAAGAATGCGTCAGATGAGGGAGTGCAGTCTCGAATAAGAACAATTATCCATGATTTATTAAAAATGAATGGGATAACACAGGGACACAACGATCAAGAATCCACGAGATGCCTTCATAAAAGGGCTCTCTACTGGACTAAAAGTTCCCACAAAGAGGTCCTCGGTTTGTTCTTCTTCATGCTGAAGCAAAACTGGTTTTGAGGCATAGGAAAAAACAATTAACACGCACGAAGTGGACGGGGATCTATATAAATAATGGTTTGAGAAGACGTTAATTCCAAACTTACCAGAAAGCCAAACAAAACGTTGTCGTTTTGGATAACGCGTCATACTATCCCGCAAATTTGATTTCCCGAAAAAATTGTGGAACAAAAGTCAAATCAAGAATTGGCTAATCAAAAAGAACATTTTTTCGAGAAAGATTACAAAATTGAAACAATTGCAGAAAAGTATGACGTTAAGATTTTGAGACTGGCGCCTTTTTATTGCGAGCTGAATCCGATTGAGATGATGATTGTGGAATCAAGTGGAAAGATATGTGGCTTAAAACAATGTCGATTTTAAAGAAAAAACGGTAAAACGGTTAATAAAAGAACACATCAAGAAAGTAGAAAAAAAAATATTTGCGGTGGGCAATTTGCAGGAAGATATTGAACGGTGTTAACTAATATAGGAAATGATTTAGAGGATGATGACGATTTAGATGATTGCGATTAGTATTAATTAACGAGAAATATCTCAGATTTAATGCTCATTTCCTTTTTTTAGTATTGTACGTACATTACATTTCAGTTAAGATCTTATTATGTATTTTATCTATACAGTGAACGGCTAAATTATGGAATATTATCATTATTTCGAGAATCGTCGAGTTTTGAGAGAAATCCCGAAACAGGTCGATTTTTGTTATAAAATACCCATCTTATAACGTACATGGAGTAGGGATGACGTCACGGTGTAAGTGTAGTGACGTAATCGTTAATTTTTTTAAATAGAATTTGGTATAATGCGACAATATATTTTAACGAGAATTTAATTCTCTATTTAACGACATCTTTTTAACTAAAATATTTTTTAAGGGTACAAAAACTATTGTTTTTAATTTAAATTCAACTAAATTCAACTAATGATTTAATTAATAATGTACTTTAAAGTAACCAAATTTTGCATAATAATTATTTTAAATTAATGTTCGAATGCATCCATCGGTTTCTTGACAATAAGCGAATCTAGGGACACATGATCAAGTACATTGCGGATGATTTCTGGAGTAATTAGACTCATTTCATCTTTCAAGTCCTGTAAGTTTTGGGGTCTACTGACATAAACTTTTGATTTTATGTAACCCCACAGGAAAAAGTCTATAGGCGTTAGATCTGGCAACCTTGCTGGCCACTCTATAAAACCTCGTCTTCCGATCCATCTCCTGGAAAATAAATGATTTAAAAATTTACATACTTCACGTGCATAATGCAAAGGAGCTTTATATTATTAAAACCAGATATTTTTACTAGGTAAATTTGGATTATTAGCATTTGGATACATGTTTGCAAGGACAGGTATAAATTGATTTCTCAAAAACGTTAAATAACGGTCTCCTGTTAGATTTTCTTTAAAGAAAAAAGTTTTTAGTTTATAGTATATAGTAGTAGTTTTTATAGAAAAAATTGTTTAGTTTTTTATGTAAATGGAAACTGTCGTGTTGTTGCTCCAGGTTTCTCAATTTCTAAACAGGATTCTTGTAGCCATCGGTTCTTTTGCTACTTTAATTCTTTTTCGGATTTCTTTTTGTATTTCATTGTATTTTCTCTCTTTATGGATTTATACTGTCTCCGAACGTCCATTAGATCTAAGATGTCTTGCGTCATCAAGTAATTTTTAACTGTTGGTCGTCTTAGAAGATTTTCTCGAGATGCAGTGATTATTGTCGTTTTCATTGTTCCCATATCTATGTTGTTGGTACCTTCTAGTCTAATTTCGTGGAACTTGTCGTTAATTTCTTGAGAAACCGTATTTAGAGTGCATGGGTCTTGGATTGCATCTAGTGCCGATTCACGGCCCATGTATAAAAAATTTGGGCTCATCAGAAAAAAGGATTTGATTGATGAAATGTGGATTGCGGATACATAAATCCTGCATCATTTCAGAAAATTGAAGCCGGCGATCGGGATCGTCGTCGTTTTAATTCATGATGAAGTTAAATTTTGTAGGGATGGTATTTAACAATAAAACACTGAAAAATTGTTTTCAAACTTCCACAAAATTTATTTTAAATTTTTTCACTACATCTGTTTCGGCTGAATGCCTTTCTCAAGTGATCTATTTTTGGCTTGGGTTTACAAATTTATAGTCTCTAATGAAATAGGTTGAGGAGGGAAGAATGTTTGTCTCAAGTTAGTCATTCAGAATTATATCTGTGTTTTTAATTTGTTGATTTCCATAGATTCTAACAAGATAGCTTAAGGCCTTTATTTTGACTGTGAAGAATTTTAAATTTGTCATTAAAGAATGATTATGATATAGAAGGTGAATGTGCGTATGTCGAATCTGTTTTTCTATTCTTAAAGCCCTTTTATGTTCTGCTATTCGTTTATCAAAGTTCTACCAGTTTGACGATGTAAGTTTTTTGGGCAGTCGCCACATTGAAGTTTGTACACACCGTATTTATGTATTTTTTATTTTTGCTCTTGTTATTTTTAATATATTTGCCTAGGTTGTTATTGTTCAGACAAGTGGTGTTATTCCGTTCTTTTTCTGTGTTTGGCAATTTTTGTTGTTATTTTGCCTGTATATGTAATCGGCAGAAGGTACTGGGTTTTTCTCTGGTGGTGGAAATACTAATTCAGGGCTTTCTTGTGTAGTTTTTGATTTAACATTTTATTAATTGTTTGTTCGTTGTATCCGTTGTTTACTGCTATTTGCCTAATTATATTTAATTATGTCTCAAAGTTATATTTTGACATCGGAATTTCTGTTAATCTATGTAATATACTATGATAAGCTGCCAGTTATGTTTGTGTTGGATGGGATGATGATTGTGTATAGTCGTGTCAGTATGGTAGGTTTATGAAATATGGAGAAGTCATGTTTGTTTTGAAGTCTGCTAATTTTTAAATCTAAAAAATTTATGGATTGAGGCGATGATATTTTTGGGATATATGGGATATATGGGATGGTATTTTTCTTTCTTTTAAATACGTAATACCGATTGTTGGGAAACTCTAGCATATTCACCCATTTGTGTTGGAACTACTGTAAGGATTGTCATGTAAATTTAATAAAATATCAAGTTTCAAATTGTCTTCAATTTTAGGACGCCCAGCATTTCGAATATGTTTAACGTGCCCAGTTTTCTCCAAATTTTTCGGACCATTTTACTTACTGTTGATTGGTAGATGGGTCTGTTGGATATTTTGCGTTGAATAAATTGCATACCTCATTCTGTGTTTTTTTATCTCTGCATCCGCTAAGACATTAATATTTATTTGTGTTGTGGTTTTCATTTAGGTTGAACCATAATTTAGTATTCATAAGTAAAAAATTACAATTGACAACTGATGACAATTTACAAAATCAAAACATTATACAACAATAATATTACCGTAATTTACTTCAGAAAAGTATTTACTTCAGAAATTCGTGGTAAGAAGCTGATGAATGGCATTCGACATTTAATTTAAAATAATTGTTATGAATAATTTGGTTAATATAAAGTACAATATGAATTAAATCATTATTTGTAATTTAGTTGAATTTTAAATTAAAAAAATGTTTTTGTATCCTTAAAAAAATATTTTAGTTAAAATGTAATGTCGTTAAATAGAGAATTAAATTCTCCTTGTAATGAGGTGTCGCATTATACCAATTTTTATTTAAAAAAATTAACGGTTATGTCACTACACCCACACCATTGACGTTATTCCTACTCCATGTACGTTATAAGATTGGTATTTTATAACAAAAATCGACCTGTTTCGGGATTTCCTTCAAAACTCGACGTTTATCGAAATAATGATAATATTACATAATTTAGCCGTTCACTGAATATATTTATCGTGTACAATTTTACGTTTTCCTAAAACAGCAAAGACGTTGACTTATTTATCCATTTTGATTGATATAATCAAAGCTAGATATCACGTACCTCCATATACCGTCAAAATTAAAAAACATTCTTGTATATTTTTTATTTCTAATTAAAACACATATTACTGCTTTAATGTTTTGATATTGCTTCTAAAGTTATTAAGAGTCTAGTACTTTCTAACATATTTCGGCAAAATAATATTAATTTTGATAAAGATAAAAAAAATAAGAGTTTTTTTCATTTCCTGAAAAATTTCGCTAACATGCACTAACGAGGCTTGGCACTGACGCCGACGCCTATATTCATCAAGTTCTGTTGGTATTAAGCTTCCTGCAGCCAATTCCCAACGGTTCTTTTGTCGTCATGTAGGTGGTCTAGCTTCTTCAGTCTGCTCGTGCTTTCCACTCCGGTTCTTTTCAAAACAGCAGATATAACCTGTACAAGAAGCTAGATATGAAATATTTTGGATTACATTACAAGTAGTTTCCTTAATGTCAAACATTCAGCTTTCACCATATTGATAATAGGATTTCTACGGCAACAATTTTCGATAACCAGAATAAAACGTGTCTGGTCTGAAAAGAGTCTGGAATGGACGATGTCATTTTAATCTTAACTTTTAACAGTTAGTTAACTTAAGTCGTTGAATTCTAGCTTAATATTTGGCATTTCCGAAAACGAGTAACTTTAAAAACCAAAACAATCTTGTTTAGGGAGGTTTATAACTTTTTGATTTTCAGATCGGTTACTGTTTTTAACAAAAATTCTTAAAAGGACGTTTTCTCAATTTGATATTTACTCTCAAGTAGATATTAGAAAAAACATAATGTTTTAACTGTTTAATTTTAGCGTCAACACTGTGAAACTATGGTTGCCTGGAATATTTCAGGCCATAAGTGATTATCAAAATGCTCATAATGGTACAAGCACTAATCTATGCACAATGTTGGAGCAAATGGTACCGAAAGAAACTCCAACATCGGCAAATTGTACAGTGGTAAGTACTTTTATTTACTTACTTGTCTGTGGCCTTTACATTGCACATTCTCTTTGCCGTTTACAACAACCCAGTCTCCACTTTTTATTGTCATTTAGTCAGGTGTCTTGTTTCCATTGCTACTTTAATTTGTCCATTATATTGGAATCTTTTCCCCTTTCTGTTTGGTTTCCGTTTGCGTTCAAGTTCTCACTCTCCAATGACCAAATGTATTGTTTTTTATTATAATTCATTTCCAAACCATATCTTTCAAATTCTTCTTCCAGTTTTTTTATCATATAGACGATATCGTCTTTGTCTTCAGCTAAAATTATTTGATCATCGGTAAACAAAAGCCTATGGAGCTACAGTTGTCGTTAATTTTTACCCCCATCTGTAGTATAAATAAGATTGGTGATAGGCTTACTCACTTTGAACGATAAACCATAAAGAAGACAGAGGAAGAAATCTAGAAGCTTCTACAAACTTTTATCAAAATAAACTAATTCCACAAGGTACAGTAACCAGATTTCATGTTAATTTGCAGTGTATTTCAAATAAAGTCGATATATGATCAATGCTTTTTTGTGGATCAAAATTTATATGACGTCATATATTTTTCGGAGCACCGGCAAAGTAAAGAAAATTTAAAATTAATTAGCATCTTCGTCTTTTCATTAACTACTTTCTTTTGTAGGGCAAAAAAGAAACAAGGTAGTAGGTTGCAATTTATGTAAAAGAAACTCTTATGTACTTTTCTCTTAATCTAAATGAATATAATGTAAAGCAAAGTTTAGAGTTTTGTGCAATTTATATACCTTCAATAAAAACCAATATTTTAACTGTATATTTTTGGTGAATTTTGAGAATGTCATAAAATCCTTGCTTAGTAAAGCATACAAACTGATCATACTTGGCGATTTTAATATAAATTTTAAAATTGAATCTGCCCCTTTTTTGATATTCAAAATCTATTAACAATACATTATGACAAATTTTTCAGAAAATAGCTACAGAGTGGGTGTATTTGAACCTTGTTTTTCTGACCATCGAGCTCAATTTTTATTTATTGACTCAGCTTCAAGTTGACACTAATCACATATTTTAACGGTTTATTACTTGTTCTGGTTTACATAAGCTTAAACGTGTGCTGACTTGTACAAATATAAAATATTTTCTATTATATTAATAATTATCCTGATTTTTTGACAGTCTTTTTTACCGAAACTGATAACAACTTAGTATTAAAGCATTTTTCACTTTTAAAAGTAGGACTACCGGCTGAAAAAATACCAGTACAATGGTTTAATAATGAAATAAGATCCTACAGATCCAATCTTTCTTTTATTAAACACATTGTAGATTCTTAGGATCCCGATTTGTTCAAAGTAAAATAAATTAAACAACAAAAATTTCAATATGATCGGCAATTACAAAATGCTAAAAAAATAAACCTAGAGACTGTTGGAAGATAGTAAATTTCGAAAAAAAGCATACAAGATTCAGTTCAGCACAACCTGATCTACCTCCAGACGAAATAAATCTATTTTTTACAACATACATATATCTACAATTGCAAAGAATATAATTACATCTCTTCCCACGATTAATGTCGATGTCCTCTTCAATTATAGAAATTATCCTTCTCCGAGCAAACTCCTTTTTTTTTGGTCTCGTTGTGGAAGATGAGGTATCTTAACCCTGCTGTCCTGTTCGGGTCTATTTGACCCAAAAAAAAAATTATTTCTTATTTTACAAATTATTACGCGGCGTAACGTTTTGGTGTTTCGTGACTTTATTACTTAATATGAGGTCTTTCAATTGCATAAAAGATAAAAAATCAACTTGCTCATTTTTTTGATAAAAATTAAATTGTTACCTATGGTACGCTCGGGTCAATATGACCCACTTATTTAAACCGTTAAAAATTACCTGTATAGGTATGTTTAGTTGGTAGTATTTTATATTTTCTAATAGTGTTTGTCAGTCAGGTACGTCTATAAATAAAAACAAGTTTCTACAAGCTAGAACTTGTAAAATATGTGTAGTGTAGCTGGACGATGTCAGGTAGAATGGCATGTCACGTAAAAGGAAGTGGGGGTGATAGACAAGTGGTAAAACACTAATATTCCAAGGCCAAGCGCATTCATTTATTCGTTTATATTTCAAATTTCAGTCTATGTTTGCATGTTGATAATGTCGCACCGTAGAGCGCTAACCGAAGATGAGCTTCGCGAGCTCGCGAACGTGTCAGAGAGTGATGAGTGCATATCAGAAACAGAAAACAATACAAGTAGTGAGAGTGAGGAAGAAAGTAGTGATGAATCCTTTGGTGTTCCATTCTACGTACAACATCCTGTAGAACCTTCTGTAACGGTTCCTTCAAAAGACGATACTATCCAATGGTCGCTCGATCCTCCTTATCAACGCGGTCGTTTTTCTACGGCCAATGTTATAAATAATGCTCCAGGAGTTACAAGGTACGCATGTGCACGAATTTTCGATATTAAAAATTCATTTGACGCACTCTTTTCTGACATAGTTGCAAACCAAATTATAAATATGACCAACATGGAAGGACAGCGTGTTTTTGGAAACAACTGGAAAGACTTAGATAAAATTGGTTTTCAAGCATACATTGGTCTGTTATTGTTAGCTGGAGTTTTTAAGTCCCATGGTGAATCAACTAAAAGTTTGTGGAATGAAGAAACGGGTCGTAGTATATTTCGAGCAACAATGTCCTTGAAGTATTTACAAAAATTTCGCAAGTAATACGTTTTGATAACAAGACTACTAGACAGGATAGGAGACGTACTGATAAACTTGCTGCAATACGTGAAATTTGGGAAAAATGGGTTGAAAATCTACCAAAATTTTTTAACCCTGATGAAAATGTTACCGTCGACGAGCAATTAGTTGCCTTTAGAGGCCGCTGTCCATTCAAACAGTACATTCCAAGCAAGCCAGCGAAATATGGCATAAAAATTTGGGCCTTATGTGACAGTAAAAGTTCTTATGCTCTAAAATTGCAGATCTATACAGGAAAGGAAGCAGGTGCCGCGCCAGAACGAAATCAGGGAATGCGTGTGGTGTGCGACTTGAGTAGTGATTTGAAAGGCCACAATATTACATGTGATAACTTTTTTACATCGTACAATTTAGGACAACTTCTTCTAAAAAGAAAAAATACAATGCTGGGGACTATAAGAAAAAATAAACGAGAGCTTCCAGCACAAATTGCGAATAAAGAAGTTCATAGTTCGTCTTTTTACTTCACACAAGATACCACTGTTGTTAACTATATTCCTAAAAAGAATAAAAATGTTATTCTTATGAGTACTTTGCATCATGAAAAGGCTATTAGTGACAGAAATGACAAGAAGCCCCAAATTATTTTAGATTACAATTCCAGTAAGGGGCAGTGGATACTCTAGATCAGCTTGTTGGTACATATACATGTAAGAGGAAGACAAATCGCTGGCCCATGATTGTTTTTTACAATATGCTGGACATTTCTGCCTACAACGCGTTCGTTTTATGGACATCGATAAATCCCCAATGGAATACCAATAAACTTACAAAACGACGAATTTTTCTTGAGGAGTTGGGAAAAACACTGGTGAAACCACTTATCCTTTCCAGGAAAAATTTACCGAGAACTAAAGACTCACAAGAACTGGTAAAAAGAACACGAGCAGAAGCGAGTAGAGAAGATGGAAATTCTAGTGAACCGTCTATGGACCATCCAACTCCGCCTGCTAAACGAGCACGCTGTAAATTTTGCTCTAAAAGGGATAACAAGACTAATATTTTATGTTGTATATGTCATAAACATATTTGTAAAACCCATTCTTTCTATTACTGTCCCAGTTGTAAACTGAATTAAATTTTGTAGATATTTGTTCTTAGGGTTTTCTGGGAAAGAAAAAATGCTTTTTATTTTTGTTAATAAGGTTTAATTTACAGTAACAATATAATTATTGTTTAATTAACTATAATTTTTTATTAATACAGTTTTGTTTAGCACCATTAGCTTATTTTATTTCTATTAGGGAGCGTAAATCATAGTTGGGTCATATTGACCCGAACAGTACATTTGTGTAGTTTACTCGAACGGTACAGCAGGGTTAAATAATAAAGTCTCTTAGTAACTCTAATTGTAGGGACATTCACGAAATTTAGAGCAAAACTTTAAAAGAAAATATCAAAAAATGTGTTTTTGATGGCACTGTACATTTTAAAGGTAAACACATCTTTTAGTGCAGAAATACCTATGTTTCATATCAGCAATGTTATTTGGCAGCCTTGAAAATAATTCGATTATTTTAGAAAGAACCTAAACGCCGTCGTTTAGGTTCATTCTGCGATAATGACCTAACCTAACCTAATGAATTTTGTAACTCGCTGTTTTGTTCGATTTAAAGGTTAGGTAACACTGAGTGATTAGTTTTCGTGAGTTTTCAATGAAAATTAGGTGTTGTTTTGTTGTTTATTGTTACGTTATACAGTTCTTAAGCCATGTCATATAGTACAGATGATGAACCTAGTCAAAAGCGTAGGCATGGAGTTGTGCACGAACAAAAATACAAACGGAATAATATTCGGAATGCTAGGCTCAAAGAACTGCAGTACATCTCGTACAAACGAGAAAAAAATTCCCAACAAAGCCCTGATGAATGATATAAACTGTACGTGCCATTTGAAATATTCTTTGAAACTTACGGATGAAATAAAACGAGAACTATGGGAAACATTTTACTCTTTAGAAAATAAAAACACCCAAGACACGTACCTCCTAGGTTTAGTGGAGGTTTTGACTGTGAAACATAGACGCAAAAACGCAGGCCTAATAGAAATATGAGCAAGCTCAAGAAAACCTTGATGAGCCTACTAATGACTTGCCAAACAAAAAAATCCCATTCTTAGAAGTATAACTTGAAAGTAAATGGTGTTCTTACTCAAGTTTGTAGAGGTGTTTTCTTTAAAGTGTTTGCAATTTCTGACAATCGAATCAAAAGAATAAATAAATGTTCTGACCTTCACAAAACTCCTGTAAATATAAGGGGAAAATCTAGAAGTGGAAACGCTCTTCCAGGTAATGTTTGTGTGAGAATTCATCAGCATATTGAGAAATTTAATTTCAAGGAAACTCATTATGGGGAAAAACCTAAAAAAATATCTTGACGCTAGGACTTGAAGTCGCAAAACATGCATGCAATGTTTAGTTTAGATAACCCTGATCTAAAAAATAAAGTAAAGTATAGTTTCTACAACAAATAATTTAAACAGAACTTTGCTTACTGTTTGGAAGACCACAAGTAGATGTGTGTTCAACTTGCGAAAGAGTGTCGGCTAAATTGAAAGATAAGTATTTGAGTGATAATGCTAAAAGAAATGTAGCTGCTAAAAAATGATACACTAAAGGCGAGCAAAAAAGATTTACAAAGCTATGGATTAGGCAAGGAAAAACAAAGATGACAATACGGTCGCACTAGCCTGCGACTATATGCAAAACTTACCCTTGCCGCACATACCTGTACAGGAGGTTGTTTACATGAGGCACCTCTGGGTAAATGTGTTTTCGTTAAACGATTTGAAAACTAATTCTTCCAAACTGTACATCTATCACAAGGGCGAAGCAAACAAAGGCCCTGACGAAGTATGTTCAATGCTACTGAACTATTTCAATGACATTCCAGTTAATGTGAAGCATCTGATAATGTTTTGTGACGGGCCATCAGGCCAAAATAAGAATCATACAGTTGTGCGTTTTTTATTAAACCTCTGTGACTCAGGTAGGTTTGAAACAATAACTCACAACTACCCTTTACGTGGCCACTCATTTTCCCCAAGCGTCTGTTGAGAAAGATGGACAGGATTTATACTCCTGATGAATATGCAGAGCTCATGCTAAAAGTTAGTAAGTCTGGCCTATTTACTGTATATCACCTTACGTCGACGATGTTCTCAGTTTCAAAAAATGGTGGCCCAAATCATACAAGAAAATGCCCAAATCATCTAAAAAATATCTTCTGAAACATTGCTTTTAATACTCATTGCAGAAGAGTATGACTCATTGCAGAACATGCACTGAACTGCTTATTGTGACTTTGCTATAAATCTTTTTCTTTTTAATATATGTGTTCTTGTTTGTGATATATTTAGGTGACGTTTTATATTCCTTTTTGGTATACTATGTTTTTTTTTACTTGCTACAAACAGTATTTGTATTTGTTGGTTAGTTAAATAAATACACTGTAAACTCTGCCAACTGCCAACATCGTTTTTTTTTTAATTTTTTTTGCTCCATACGTTTGCCCTCCGTATTGATTCCTTGTAAGTAAGTAAGAAATCAAAAACATCTCAAAAACCATGTAGTAAATTAAATATGAATATACATAGGTATACAAATATTTGTCGTATAAATGCGTTTTAAATTTCTTTTTTGTAGGATATGAACAATCTGTCGGTGTATGTAAATACATTCATAGTAGCAGCTGCAAGAATTGTTGCCTTTGCTTTTTCTACTGTCTTTATCAGAATGTTAGGAATAAAAAGGTTAAATAGTAAGTACAGTTTCATAAGTAAACAGATATATTTTGCTACGGAAAAGCATAAGACAGTATATGTTTGGGCACGCCATTTATTCTTTACTGTTGTTATTACCACTAAAATTTTCATTTTTATTCTTAGATTTAATAAAGGACAAACTAAAATTAATGTTGGCGTTTGCCGTTAAAGGAATTTAAACTCTAATGGTACCATGGTATCTCTGAAAGTCACAACCGTGGTTTAAAAGCAATTTTCTATTTAATGTATTAACTAAATTTCTGAAAAAATTTACTTATCCAAATTATTTGCTTTTTTTACCTTGTTAAAATAAAAGGAAAAAACTTACGAACGTTATTTTAGCTTTTTTTTTAAATTCTCGTGGCCTGCAAATTTCTAGTAAATTATGAATAAGTTATATAATAATACCATTGGGTATATATAGTCCCAAGATTCCTAAGAGGAACATAGGGCTTCCACAAAATGTCTCCAGCGAACTCTATTTCTGGCTAGTGCTTTGATTTCAAGCCAGGATTTTCCCATTTTTCTCCCTTCGTCCAGTACTGTCCTTCTCCAAGTTTCCTTAGGTCTGCCTACTTTCTGTCGGCCTTGGGGATTCCAATCCAGCGCTGTCCTGGCAATGTCATTTGGCGGTTTACGGAGTGTGTGGCCAGCCATCTCCATTTTCTTCGCCTTATTTGCTTTATGACATTTTCTTGGTTGCTTTGGTTCCATAAATTTTCATTGGAGATTCGGTTAGGCCAAAATATACGAAGGATTTTTCGTAACGCTCTATTGATGAAAACTTGTAATTGGTGTACTATGGATGCTGATATCTTCCACGTTTCGCAGCCATACAGTAATACAGCTTTTACAATTATGTTGAAGATTTTTAATTTCGTTTTAGTTGGGTAAATCCTGGATTTCCATATGTTGTTAAGCATGTTGTAGGCGTTTCGAGCCTTATTTATTCTTTCATGTACATCACGCTCTCTACCCCCATTACAGTCAATTATGCTGCCCAGATATATAAATTCCGCTACTCTCTCAATTTTCTGGTCGTTGATCATAATAGGTTGGTTGTTTCTGGTACCAAATCACATTTCTTTGGTTTTGTTGATGTTTATTTCTAGACCAACCTTCTTTGATTCTTCTTGTACTTTGTTTACTTGGAGTTGTATGTCCTGTTTTGTATGTGCTAGGAGGCATCATCAGCGTAATCTAGGTCTTCCAGTCTGTTTGTTAATCCCCAGTAAATTCCTCTATTAGAGTTTACCTTTGTTAGTACGGAGTCCAGTACAATGTTAAATAGTATGGTGGATAAAACACAGCCCTGCTTTACTCCGTTTAGCATAGCTATTGGGTCAGATGTTATGCCGTTGTGTAGGATTTTGCTTTCTGTGTCACTGTAGAGTTCTTTGATGAGATTTACTATTTTTTTGGTATTCCTATTTTCTGCAGTGCTTTTCATATGGCCGTATGTGTGAGCGTGTCAAAAGCTCTCTTGAAGTCCACAAAGCACACAAATAGAGGAGAGTTGAATTCCTGTGACTGTTCTACAATTATTCTTAGTGTGTTAATTTGGTCCACGCATGATCTGTTTGGTCTGAAACCGGCTTGTTCCTTCCTCAACATTGGTTCTACACTGTTTGTTAGTCGGTTGTTTATAATTAGTGCTGTTAATTTATTTATAGTATTCAGAAGTGTGATTCCTCTCCAGTTTTCGCAACATCTTCTGTCACCCTTTTTTGGTATCTTTATTATTAATCCGTTTTCCATTCTTTGGGGAACTTTTCCTCTCTCCAAGCCCTTTTAAAGAGTGGTTGGATTAGCTCTGCCACTGTACCTGGGAAAGCAATAATACCATTGGGTCACTACTTTGTCCTTTTGAGTCATCTTGATCATTTCCAAATCTGCAAACCATTCTTGAAAATGTTTTACCATTTACTGTTTTTCAGGCAATGCTTTCATCTTTTCTCTTTATTTCATATTTTTTACTGGGAATCCCTCATTTTACTACTTCCTGACTACCAGCATTTCCTTCATTTCTATGTAAATATTGTCAGTAAATATATTTAGAAGAAGTTCGATAAACCTGTGGCTTTTTTCTTTCAGTCTGCATCAGGTTTTAATTTGCATCATACAAATATTTGAAAGAGAAACAATTTCGAACTGCTGCGTCTCAAAATCTTCGTAAATAAATCTTAAATTCCGAGTCGAAAAAATTGATTCAACAACAGGGGAGAAACTGCAATTCGGACTATAAAACATCAATTAAAACTAACTATACTTTATGTTTCAGTTATATTATGTTTTGTTACTGCAGTCCTACAATTCTGTATATATTTTGCAAGAGATTCGACAACCGTGACAATATTATCTGCTACAGGAACTGCTATTGGAAGTGTAGCAGAAAATTTGCTAATATCTTTGACTTTGGAACTTTTTCCAACAACGTTAAGGTAAGATTTTTTTATTAAGCGGTTATTGTTTTTCTAAGTTTATTTTTAAATTTGTAGAACCATTGCTCTATCCATACATCTGACGTCAGGGAGAACAGGTACATTGGTGGGGAATATAGTATTTCCTTACCTACTGACTTCTGGGTGTTTACCACCATTCTTCTGGATTGGAATATTTTGCGTTGGTAAGTAATTTTGAAACAAACAGTCTCATTTTATTTGTAAAATTTTACATTTACTCCACACTGCTATATGGTGTAGAAATCTGGATCATAAAGGCCAGTGTGATGAACCGATTGGAATGTGGGTATTTTAAAAGACTACATACTTAAAATTACCTGGACAGATCACACAACAAATGTCGGAGTAAAAAATCGAATGGGCAGAGAACGCGAATTGCTGCCAATAATAAAAGAAGAAAAACTGTTTATCTGGGTTATATATTTCAAAATTCCAAGTACCAGTTCTTATAGCTTTTTATGGAAGGGAAGATAAAAGAAAAACGAGGCATCGGAAGAAAGAAATGTTCATGGCTTAAAAACATAAGGGATTGGACAAACCTCGATGCTCACGCACTCTTTAGAGCCACACAAGATCGAGAGGAATATGCAAGAATTGTCGGCAACATTCACTAATTGGATAGGGCACCATAAGAAGAAGTTATACAAAGTGAAAATTCTGTTTGGTGCTCTGCTAAGCGGTTATTAAACGGTATATCAACGTGTCTTATATAAACTTGCATACATTCTAACAATGTTATTTTATAATTAAATGGTATTTTAACTCAGTACAGTTCAAATTTCGGCTTGCGTGGATGTCGGTGAATTAAGCTGTTTAGCATTAATGTTGTCACTACTAAGACTGGATGAATGGGGGTTTTCAGATGGAGACGGTAACCTACCTGTAGTAAAAGGAATGTGTAGAGTAGATCTGGAAAACTGCGTTGGAATTGCTCCAATTCAAAGGCTACCATGTAACAAAAGAGCTACAAGTTGTAAAATGAAAAAATCATTAATGTAACAACAAAGAATAGAAATGATGGAAAATGCAGCAGTACAGTAAAGATAAATTAATAGAGAAAAGGATAAAAAGACTAAAACGGTTCCAATCTACAGCGGTGTTGATAAAGAAGAAAAATCAAGAGCAGAAGAGGTAGGTATACTCGTCCCTTGAACTATCAAAAACAACATAGAGAAATGTTTATGAACATTTTTATTTATGTTTATGATCCTCGTTCTAGAAATGTTTGATCCTAAAGTTTTGTCTGCAATTAAAGCAAACATTATCAAACACGTTACGTAAATGAAAACTGTTAAGGGATTTCTGAATAGAGTAGGAGCTTACCAGTACTCCATGCGGTATATATTGGAAACGTCGCATGGTTGTGACAGGTATGAGTAAGACATAACCAAAGAAACACCCATAGATTACCTGAATATATGATACAGGGGCTGTAGCTAGTCAGTAATTATACAGGGTGATTCAAAAAGGTATGTCATAAATTAAATCCTTCCTAAGATTAATAAGAGATATACTTCCATGCCTTACACAGTTTTGTTCAAATGCATGGGAATAAAATGGACAAGAAAACAGAAAGAGATGGTCCAAAACATAACTGAAAATAAATAATTCTTTTGAGTTTACAGATAAAACTAGAATGGAGAACGAGCAGTCACGATATCATGCACGGATTTTATTTCTAGCTTAAATAGGTTTTGGTGATCATAACCAGGATCTTACAGTCAAACCTTCGGCGCAGTAACGCAGATTTAGCCTAACTTACTACTGTTATCACAAGGTTTGGTGTCGCCCTGATCCGAGACTGCTTAGTTTATTGAGTTTTGGCAGAGAACTTATGGATAGCAGATCTGTCAAGGTTCTGAGGACTTGTATAATAATTTACGAACAATGAATACATTAAATCAATTGGCTGGGTAGCAGCGGTTCAGAAAAGATGACTTTTGTATAGTAATTCTCAGAAATGTATGGCACTCACGAAAGATCTTTTTGATGCTGGTGAATGGAAAATAAATTCTATTGGCGTTCTAATAAGTAGGAAGAAAGATATTTAGTCAATACATAAGACCTGGGGGCGGTCGATCAATACAAGTGGATTGTAACTAACGGAAGGGTACTAAAATTATCAGAACTTCCTCTGATAAGTATTTAGAGACTTGGCTTAAAGTTCTTGCCACTCCGGATTGAAGTTCATTCTTTGTCGTTTTTCGCTGCATTTTATACTTTTGGCTAGCGTTCTATCTCCAGCGCGAATATCGATGATAGTAGTAAGTTATTGGTGGGAGTATAGGCACACCGAGAGAGGTTTATTTGTGTTTAAGAAGTTTAACGACTAGATATATTTTATAATCGAAAATCATTTTCCAATGTGGCATTAGAGCTGTGATTTTTTTTTTCTGTTTATTATTTATATAAGTACACACAGTTTTGTAAGTATGCAGAAGAATTTTTCAATTTGTAGCTCCAAAATTTACCACAATTGCCAGAAAAGACTAGATCAGCGTCTGTTACAAAACATGCTGATCTAGTATTTAGAAAACATTTTTTTTTAATATGTGCAGTGTATTTGTCTAAAGGAACTTATAAGGGAGTTTTTGATACAATTGACATATTACATTGTAACAACGTTGGTGTAATGGTAACCAGTAGTTGTTAACAATAGTTGTTATACACCAGATGATATTAGTAGACTGCCCCTGCTTGTATTTTATTTTAAACATTAGTAATATTGTAACATTACATGATTTATAAGCAGTGGCGTGCCGTGACATTAGAAGAAAGGGATGCAAATTAAAGGAAATGATAAAAAGACTTACTAACCTTTTTACTTGTAGTGCAGCTCTATTCTTCTATCAACCTTGGCAAACTCGTTTATCACAGACTCATAAAAACTGGGATTTTCAGACATTTCTTTAATAAGTTCTTTTTCAATTGATAAAATTGCTAAGTTAGCTAGCCTCTCCTCACTTGTGGAATTTCTGACAAAGTTTTTAATACGCTTTAGTACAGAAAAACTTCGTTCTACAGACGCACTTGTGGCAGGTATTGTCATCACTAAGTCACATAATTTTGAAACCTCACTATATGCTTCATCCAGTTCAGTTTGTTTAAGAAATGTCAGCATTTTAGAACTAGTATCAGTTTGTATAGAGTGTTGAGAAGCATACAAAACGCACAGTTGGGAATGCAGGGAAAGAAGGTCAAAAAAGTTTGCATAATGTTTTTTTAGACAACTAAAAGCCTCATCCGGGAAACTACAGTCGGCATATTTATTGAAGTTGCATAACTCCACAAATCTTAACTCACAAAGGTTTTTAAATCTTTCTTTAAGCTGCTGGGAAATATTATCTATTATTTCACAAAAAAGTCGATTATAAGATATTTTTGTGTCGCCTACATCGTCAATTCTAATGCGTTTTCTCTTGGGTTCCATCTCTTCTAGATCGCAAGTTTTTTGCCACATGATATCAAATTGCTCCCTCTGTCTGTTGATTTGGACTTCGAATTCGTTAATTTTTTTAATACAAAATCCGATATCATTTGATTTAGTCTGCAATACATCAAATAAAATGTCTGTATAAGGAAATATTTCAGAAAATACTTGAAGCAAAAAATTAAAATCAAAATCTCGTTTGACTAATTCCAAATAACCTCTTGAGGAATTCACAGTTTCAGGGTCCCAATGGTCTTTATGCTCCAAAATGCTTTCAAATAACTCTATTAGGGATTGCCGATATTGGGAAACTGTTTTTACTAACCTCCCATTGTAATTCCATCTGGTGGGAGCTGCTCGAGGGAACCTTTTCTGAAGAATGACATCTAAAGCATGTGTTCTTTTGGAAGATTTAGAAAAAAAAGCAGCCATTCCACTCAAGGTTTGGAAAAATACCTTGCAAGTCTTATTGAGTGCGACTGATTGCGCTAGAACTAAATTTAGCCTGTGTGCAAAGCAGTGCACAAAAATTGCATTTTGAAACCTCTCCTTAACTTTGGTTTGAAGTCCTCCGAGGTGCCCAGCCATTACGGCAGCTCCATCATAACTTTGAGCGACAAGTTTGGAACCACAGTCCAGTTCCTCAACTATATTACAGACATGTCTATATATACCTTCTGCCGATCTATCTGCAGTTATATCCAAAAATCCCCAAAATCGTTCTTGTATTTCACCATTATTTTTGATGTAACGCAGAACAACCGACAATTGACTCAAATTCACGATATCTGTAGTTTCATCTAGAACAATGGAAATAAATTGTGCTTCTTTTATTTCTTCTTTGATTTTTTGCAGAACAATATCTGCCACAGACTTGATCAAATCGTTTTGTATCCTATTCGAGGTACCTCGAAATACAGTAGATTGATCTAAATGACTTTTTAATAGTTCGTCATATTCAGATAAAAAATTTGCTAAATCCACAAAATTTCCCCTATTTACAGATTCATAATTTTCATTATGCCCTCGGAAACTAAGTTCATGTTCTCCAAGGAAACATGTAATATGAATCAGTCTTTTTAATATTTCACGATTTTTTTTTACTTGCTCATTATGCATGCGGTGACTAACTTTAAGCTGATTATCTAGAGCGTGATCAATTCGGGTTTTCCCAAAAGTCTTTTCTTTTATAACTGCTTCTAAATGCGTTTTACTTAAAATGTGTCGTTTTATAGATTTGTGCAAATTATTTAAATCTGAGTAACCCGTACTATTCCACACGTTTTTATCACTTATATTAAATAATATACACGGAAAACAAAATAATCTTGAGAGAGTTTTACAACCTGTCAACCACTTAAAGGAATCGTATATATTTTTGTTAAAATAACGTGTACATTTCGTCGACTTGGTTTGAATTTCCAGTAATGGTTTTGGCCTGCCTACAGATATAATATTACACTTTTCTTGAAAGTTAAATTTTGAAAATCCACATTTTAATAAATCGCACACAATACAACACTGTCCATTACTGTTTTCCTGACAGGATTGAGAACTTGTACACGGTTGGGGTAAATCTGAATTCATTTCGGAAAAACTACTTAAATTATTATATATACATATACGTAAAATGAAATAAAATATATACATATACGTACAATAAAATTAAAACACGTGAAACACAGCAAAAACTACTCGAATTAATATAAATGCAAAACACGCACTGTATTACAATGTCATATGCGAACTACTCCAGTCGCCTTGCCTATGGTAAGCAAATATAATATTGCATCCAGTATTCTTAAAAATGCCGGTCCAAATCTATAAAAATTGGGCCCGGGCCCCGAGAGTCGACGTGTGCTGCCGAATTGAAGTGATGCTAGCGCGATCAGAATGGTATTGGCTGGTATTGGTTCCAGAAAATGCATCCAAAGATATATTACAATCACCGTGCGCTGTTGCCAGTAATTGCATTCGTAAAGTAATTTAATGATTTCTTGAAAAACGTATTTTATCTTTAAATATTTGAATTATTACAAATCAATTTAAAATATGATTATGTAGTTTTAATTACTGATAATAAATTTTAGATTTTAGGGGATGCAATGCATCCCTTGCATCCATGCACCGCACGCCCCTGTTTATAAGGTTATTTTATGTTGTAGCTTGCGGAATTTTCTCATTTTTGTATCCTTCAGTAGAAGACAAGCCATTAAAATAAAAGCTGACATAGTACCTATCAGGATGATATTGAATTTATATGTATTTTTTAATTTAACACTTTAAAAATGTACTTAAGAATGTATATGACAAACAATTTATAGGTAGTTTATATTAAATTGTACAACAAATTTTCTTTTTTTAATAAATTTTATTTAAAATTTATTAGTTTTATTTATGTCTTTTTAATGGTAGTTGTTCTTCTTCCTATTGATCTTGTAACGACTATTTTGCATACCTCTGGGTAAGAACATGGGGGAGAAGATTGCGCAAACAGAATAATCCAAACTAGTGCGTACGGCACTCAGTTGGTTGTTGGAGAGCTGGGTCGTGGATAAGTTGAAGATATGGGGGTTGGATTGGGGCAACTACAAAAAAAGGAAATAGAGGGGTACTTATACAAATCTCTTGGGACAAACAAAATGAAAGGAACAGGAAACACTTCAAGGAATTTAATATAGGGCGCCACTTGAGGTGCATAATTATACCTATTACAACCACTAGTTGTAACTAGGGAAATAATTATAAAACATCGAAAACATGTCTTTTTCAAATAGAACTCAAAAAAGGGTTAGTTAAAAAAATAAACAAAATGTTAGAAAACAAAATTTAACATTTATTTTTGTATCACCACAAACAGTTACAACATTGAGAAATACAAGAATATATTATACAACCTAATCCAAATTAATGAAAACTTACATGTTCTTTGTTTACATAAAAGATTGCTACAAAATTTTTAAATGGTTTCTAGGTTATAATATGGCCAATTTAGATTATCAAAATTTTATGGATATCCTTTTTATGAAAAATATTATTGAATTTAATCTTACATATGGAATAAATTTTATATAAAATATTCAAATTAAAATTGTGTTATAACAATCATGAATTAAAGCAAAATGTCATATGTCAACATAACAAGTTAAGACAGATTAAATTATGACATTTTTATCTACGACAACATAATATAAAACTTAAATTATTACAAATTCTTTTATATTAATGAAAGCAATTATTAAAATGTCCATATAACTTGGAAAAATTAATATATTAAAAGTTACCTTAATCTTTTTTATAATCACTTAACTTTGAAAAACTTGCTACTATCTCTGGATTGGAGCTGCAAGGACAAAACTCTCAACTGGAACAAAAGCAAACCATTTCCATACTGGAACGAAGATCTGACGTAGAAAGAATTGGATCAAATAGGAAAACGATAACAAACTGGCGGGACATCTTATATATTGCTTCAAAATTATACCATGTTCTGGTATACTACACAAATTACTTTTTTTAATGCCATATATTTCCACTAAAGGGGCCAAAACAGAAGAACACAAATTTGACGGAGATTTGCGGATCCATACTTGCGATCCACACAGCGAACCAAGTAAGAATCCATTAGGTCACCCCTGACTCTACCGGCGACCCAAGTACGAATTAAGATCCATACCTAACACTACGATGACCCAAGTATGAATGACGAATTTAAAAATTCGTTCGTATAACTTGAAAATAAACAAACCGCTGAAATAGTAAAATACAACGAAACGACGTAGATATCCTTTTGCGACGTATAAAAATTATAAGACGACTTCGAATAAAACATTAAAAGAAATTACCGAAAAATTTAAAACAATAAACAACTCTAAAATGGTTTATTTTAACTTGGTCGACCTAAGAAACAATTGAAAAGATATTTGGGTTTTAATACGTACGAAATATTCTAAGATTTATCAAAAATATATAAGGGGATTTTAATATTTTACATATACGAGGAGATCTCAATATAAAATGCTACAATCTTCTACTTATCATTTTTTAATTTTTCTTCTTCTTCTTTTTATTTAGACATGACTCTGTCTGTTTTTCAATGTGCCTGCAGTAAGTTGTCGTTTTATTGTTTTCGTGGCCTACTGATCGTCTTCTTATTGGAGAACCTTCTATTGCTATCTTTACTACTCTATTTGTTGTCATTCGGCTTATATAATGGTTCCATTCTACTCTTTTGTTTCTTACCTAGTTCTTGATGTTTTTCACCTTGCATTCAAGTCGTATATTTGTACTTCTAGCTCTGTCCCATAGTGTCTATCATCAATTTTTCTAAGTGTGTTCATTTTTGCTGTTTTCGACATCTGTTTTCTCCTCTCTGTTTCAGGTCTTGTTTCTGCTGCGTATGTCATTATTGGTCTGAAGACTCTTTTGTAAATTCTGCCTTTCGTTTCTTTTCCGATATTTGTATTTCTCCATATTGTTTAATTCAGGTAGCCTGCGGCTCTGTTTCTTCTATTCACTTGATTTTCTCCTTCAGTTTTGAGCTTTCCGTAGCTAGATAATGTGATGGCTAGATATTTAAACTCCATCACTAGAAAAGAAAGAAGTGCCAACGTTAAATCTGTACTCTGCGAGAGAGACCACCTAGCAAACTACAAAGTTTGAAAACTATACAAGGAGCTACAACAAAAAAATTTGCAACGATTAGACACAAGCCTAACATGCCGATTATTCACTCACAGCCCTCACTACCACTATTCCCGTCTCAAATGACATGGCTGAACTAAAGAATATGTTAAAAGTCCTGATGGAACAAATGGGTACAATGTTAAATATGCTCACTACCGTCGTCACTAAATTAACAAACTAATCAAATTCTTAAAAATAGCTATGTGGAATGCCAACAGGCTAACCAATCAAGCTCAAGAGGTTAAAGCTTTTATATTAATACAGCGACATAATGTTAATCTCTGAAACACACTTCACAAATAGAAGTTATATGAAAATTCCCAACTATGTAATATATAACACCAGACATCCAGATGGGACTGCACATGGAGGAACTGTAATCATAATTTAGTCATCGATAAAACACCATGAATTAAATAAGTTTAAAAGAGACAATTTTAAATAAAGAGACTTTTAAATAGAAGCAACAAGTATTAGCATAGAAGACTGGAACAGCCCTTTAATAATAACTGCAATATACAGTCCACCACGACATACCATAGCCAAAAATAAATAGTAAGAATTCTTTAACACCCTTGGAAACATATTTTTAGCAGGCGGCGATTATAACGCAAAACACACTTACTGGGGATTTAGGTTAATAACCCCGAAAGGCAGGCAATTATCTATGGCAATGGAAACCAACAACCTTAAATACATATCCGCTGGCGAGCCCACATACTGGCCCAAAGACACAAACAAAATTCCAGACTTGGTCGATTTTTGTGTAACCGAGGGAATACCACTCGAATCCCAGACATCACAATCTTATTTCGATCTTTCATTCGATCACTCTTCTGTCTTGGTCACGATATCCACAAATATCCTAGAAATACAATCTCAGCCATATCTTAGTAATAAATATATTAATTGGATTAAATTCCGGGCTATTCTTGATGGCAGACTGGATCTAAACATCCCACTAAAATCTGATGGCGATATTGACGAAGCAGTAGATCAATTAAATAGGATAATTCTGGAAGCTGGCTGGCAGTCAACACCTACACAAACAAAAGCAATCGTACAAAAAGACTTACCCAACGAAATAAAAGAAAAAATTGCAGAAAAACAAAGACTAAGGAAACTCTGGCAAAGAACCCGAGCAACTCAGGATAAAAATAGACTAAACCAAGCTCCAGCAATATTAAAAACACTGTTAAACAACATTAAAACAATAACATAAAACAATATTTACAAAATCTATGTGCCAAGGAAGCCTCCGAATACGCACTAAGGAAAGAAATACGAAAAATTAATTGACCACAACTTTCTAATCCGCCTATATGGGCTAGTAACGGACAATGGGCTAAAAGTAACAAAGAAAAATCTACAGTCTTTACGAAATACCTGGAGGAAGTATTCCAACCACATACTCAAGACAACAACCCCGATGCAGAAGATAATATACAATCGTATATAGAATCTCAATACCAACTAGGAGCACCATTGGAGAAATTCACTGCCAAACAAGTTTTCAACAAAATCCAAACAGATCTGAATCCGAAGAAGTCCCCAGGGTTCGACTTATTCACTGCAAGAATTCTAAAAGAACTTTCTAAGGAAGGAGTGCCATATTTAACACAGATTTTTAACGCAATACTAATCCCCTTTTGTGAAAAGTTGCACAGATCATTTCAATTCCTAAATCAGGCAAATCTGTAGAAGAAGTTAAGTCCTATAGACCTATCAGTCTACTTTCAGTCATGTCAAAGGTATTTGAAAAACTACTACTAGACAGATTACAGCCAATCCTCGTACAACAGCAGCTAATACCCAACCACCAGTTTAGATATAGATAACAGCATGCTACCATTGAGCAAATTCATCGAATCTGCAATTCCATAAACAAAGCCTTAGACAAGAAACTATTCTGCAGCCTTTTTGGATATCTCGCAGGCTTTTGATAAAGTTTGGCACACTGGCCTGCTATACAAAATAAGACAAGTCCTTCCTCTTAACTACTTTCTAATCATTAAGTCCTATCTTTCCAACTGACATTTCCTTGTAAAAGTAAAGGATTAGTGCACTAACTTATATCCAGTACCCCAAGGTAGTGTCCTTGGAGCTGTTCTCTACCTACTTTACACAGCAGATCTTCCTACAAGTCAAAACATCGTCACAGTCACACACGCAGTCGGAGCAACCCTTGCGGCTCACTCAAACCCGTATATCGCCTCACAACTACTCCAGACCAATCTCGACAAAATAAAGATTTGGTTACAAACATGGCGAATTAAAATTAACGAAAGCAAGTCAGAACATATAACGTTCTTCTTCTTAACGTGCCCTATCAAGTCTCCTTGACGTTGGCGATTAACATGGCGAAACTGTCTCTGTCTTGAGCTATTCTAAATAGTTGCTCAGCTTTCTTTATTCCTGTCCACTCCCTGATATTCTTTAACCAAGAGGCCTGCTTTCTACCAATTCCTCTGCGTCCTTCGATTTTACCCATCATAATAAGTTGAAGAATATTATATCGTTCTCCCCTTACTACGTGTCCAAAATAGGCCATCTTTCTACATTTGATGTTATCAAGCAGCTCGCGAGCAGCATTTGCTCTTTCAAGGACTGCCACATTTGTCAGCATAGCCGTCCATGGAATTTTTAGTATACGTCTGTGCTGCCACATCTCAAAGGCCTCCAGACGATTAA